GCCCGGGGCGCGGCCTGTGCGCGGACCCTCGGTGCCGCGGGCCATTTGGGGTCGTGCTGCTTCGCTCCCCGGCCCCTTCCAGGTCTAGGACGGCCTCTCCGCGTGAGTACCCTGGACCTTCGAGCCAGTTCCTGCGGGCAGCCTCCCTGACGTCAAAACATATTTCTGTGTGTAGAGAGACTGTTTCATTCCCTGGTTCCTCGGAGAACAATTAGATGGGAGGAAACACTGAAACACTGATGTTTAGGTGTTACAATGTAATCCTCTGGTTATGGAGATTGGCAGGTCAGGAGAAGCTCCTCGAAAGGTGTTAACGGCGTTCGTTTTAAAAAAATGAACGTTTGAGGTTTTCCTTGAATTTACGAATTTAGTAAAACGATTTGATTTCTTAAGTCTCGTTTTAAACCTCTGTAACGAAGTAATTTATTTGTACCATCTTCCACCCCATACTCCAAAAAACGACTACACTGGCTTTCAGAAAACAAGAATACTCAGTCCTTTGCCTTGTCCCTTTTAAGCAGTTTAGAATATGACATGAGATTAAAAATTCTTCTCTTAGTCTTCCAGCAGGATGTAGCTCTGATGACGTGAACGTTTGTCTTTCAGCATAGAAAAGGTGAAGGAGAGCTCCCTCGCCCACCAGACCGTTTAAAGAAGAGGACTGCTGTGTGTAGGGTATTTATTACCTTCCGATAACTGGAAGAGAAGATGAATCCACCTAACCCTTTCGGTGGGCAGCAGCCCAGTGCTTTCCCAGCTTCCTCCAGTAGTTCCATAGGAACATTTCAGGCGAAGCCACCATTTCGATTTGGTCAGCCTTCTCTTTTTGGACAAAACAATACATTATCTGGGAAGAGCTCAGGATTTTCACAGGTATCCAGCTTTCCGGCACCCTCTGGAGTAGGTCATCCTTCAGCGCAACCATTAGGGTTCCCCCACGCCTCAAGCGTTGGGCTCTTCTCTGGTCTTGAGCACACTCCGGCCTTTGTAGCTACCTCTGGACCTTCAAGTTCGTGTGTGCCTGGAAACCCCGGATTTAGTTTTAAACCACCCAACCTTGGGGCTTTCCCAAGTACTTCTACTTTTGGACCAGAGACTGGAGAAATAGCAAATCCTGGTTTTGGGGAAACGGAATTCAGCTTTAAACCTCTGGAAAATTCTGTGTTCAGACCAATACTGGGGGCCGAATCCAAGCCAGAGAAAACTCAGAGCCAAATTACTTCTGGATTTTTCACATTTTCCCACCCAATTAGTAGTGGACCTGGGGGACTGGCCCCATTTTCTTTTACTCAGGCGACAAGTGGTTCAGCTGTCAGTTCAGAGTTTACCTTTTCGAAGCCAGTTGACAGCAGTGACGCGTCATCTCCCTTTAGCCCTGCTCCGTCGAACCAGAACACGGAAGGAGAGAAGAGGGGCCCGAGGCCGGTCTTTGGAAGTCTCCACGGCGGTGGCTTCACCAGCTTCCCTGTGTCTCCCTCAGGCTCTCTGGGGGAACCCTTCCCAGCTAGCAAAACAGGCATCAGACAAGGATGCGAGGAAGCTGTTTCCCAAGTGGAGCCGATGCCCAGCCTCATGAAGGGACTGAAAAGGAAGGAGGACCAGGACCGCTCCCCGAGGAGACACGGCCACAATGCCATTGAAGACTTGGACCCCCTGTCGAGGGGCGATCACCCTCCTGATAAACGGCCCGTCCGCCTGAACCGACCCCGGGGGGGCGCTCTCTTTGATCGGACAATACAGGATGTTATCAAAAGCAATAAAGAAGTTGGTCGTCTGGGCAACAAGGAATCTAGAAAGGAAACTGCCTCTGCCGAAGCTGGGGAGAATGACCACATGGCCATCCCAGGAGCGAGTCAGTCTGTTCTGGCAGCTTCCCGGCTTCCAGGCGTGAATAAAGAGGAAGAAACTGAAAGTAGGGATAAAAAAGAAGGTGAGCCCTAAAAATGCACAGCACATGGTAAATCCCACTGGCCAGTTCTTGGTAAGCTTCCCTGGGCATTAGCTCAGTTCTGGTAAGTCCCCTGTGAACATGAGGGTTACTGACAGACCATGGGGCCTCGGGGCGGGCCTCACATCCGTGAAGGTTTCTTTTGCTCTTACTAGTTGGGCTTCCTGTTTGAAAACGTTACATCCAGCATGATTCTGTGCCTGTTCTCTGGTCGCCTAGATTTTCTGAGAGGAACTCCTGGGCGTCAGAGGAAAAGAAGCGAGAGCACGGACAGTCTTGGGGGCTTCTCTCCTGTGGAAGCCACAGCCATCCAGTGCAAGAACATTCCTGACTATCTCAACGACAGAGCCACCCTGGAGAACCACTTCGGCAAGATCGCTAAGGTGCAGCGCGTCTACACCAGGCGCAGCAAAAAGCTGGCGGTGGTGTATTTCTTGGATCACGTGAGTCTCCTGAGTGAACTTTGTCACTTCAGAACCCCCTTTTTTTCCCATCTGTCAGTCGCTTGCTCGCTAGAATGCAGGGAAGCTCTAGACTGTTCTATTCTTAGCTTGGAGAGACGAGAATAGCAGTGAGTATTTCATCACTGCAGCCATCGGGGAGCAGCTTGCAGCCCCCACGGAGCAGCAAGCCTCAGCACGTCAGGTTCCTTGCAGGGCGTGGCAGTGCTCTGTGCCCACGTAGCACTTCTCCACACTGGGGTTTTCTTCTTTTGGTTTTGGTCATCGTACATGGTTACAGTAACCGTTCAAACGACACAGGAAAAGCAAAATCTCCCCGTCATCTCATTCTCCACAGGTAACTGCTGCTGTTTGGTTCGCACCCTGACCTGAAGTTTGTGTACAAGTGCACACTTGCATGACACGTTAGTTGTAGGGTGTAGGTACATGTGGACTGCTTATGTTATGTGGCTTTATTTTTATTATTTTTAAAAAATATTCTCGTGGAGAAAAATTATGTTCTATAGGAATTCGTAAAGTAGAAAGCACGTTTTTATGCTCTTGTTAAATGGTACTATGGGAGGGGCACAAAATCTTCCCATAATCTGTCCTCCAAGATCGAAATTATGAATATTTTGGTTAATGTCTTTTCAAACCCATAATCACATTGTTTTTACACGAACGGGATCACACTGTATGTACTGTTGGTAACTTCTCATAGTAATCTTTAGTATTTTGTGAAGTCAGTAAACAGTTTAGAATGGGATTGTTACGTGCTGTATGCCATTCTGCCCTGTTTACTGACTTGGCCAGTGTTCTCCTTGTGGATGTCTTTGTGTGTACAGTTCTGATTACTTTATAGCCTTCGTTTAACTCCCTCAGAGTGGAAGCTCTGTGCCAAAATAACGTGAAGTCTTAGGGCTTTTGCCATTTATCCTTCTATTGGTTTTTTCCCCCCAGTTCAGTGGCATTAATTACATTCACAATGTTGTGCAGCCATCACCACTATCTGTTTCCAGAACTTTTTCATCTTTCCAAACAGAAACTCTGTCCTCGCTAAGTGATAACTCCCCATTCCCTTCCTTCCCCAGCCCCTGGTGGAATCACACCATCGTCGTCCTTTTGTGTCTGGCTTTTTTCATGCGGTTGTACTTCATTCCTTTTTGTGGCTGAATGGTCGTCCATGGTGTGGATGGACCACATTTTGTTCATTCATTTCTTGTTGGACATGGGTTGTTTCCGCCTTTTGGCTCTTTTGAATAATGCTGCCATGAACGTGGTGTGCAGATCTCTCGAGAGCCTGCTTCTCGTTCTCTTGGGTAAATACTTAGGAGTGGAATTGCTGGGTCAAAAGGTTATCCCCATTTTTTTTACTATTTTATTATATTTTGACTTACAGTGTGCTTATTCTTCCTTCTGAGCCCTCAGTAAGAATTATATAGTAAATGCATAATGCAAATGAACACATCGTCATTGTAAGCAGTTCGTTGGTTTATGCAAACAAAGCTGAGATCCCCTGATTACCCCACCTCTCTGTAACCCAGGAGCAGGTGTAGTTAGTTCCCTGTGTGATGTGTATTTTTCTGGATGTTTTCACGGGTCTCTCTGTAGCAATAGTAATACGTGCTTGGTTTAGTGTGTGTTTTGTGATAAATTGCACCCTGTGTGTATCATTCTGCAGCTCCCTTGTTTGTGTAAGTGTGACTTGGCTGTGTCTTTCCATTGCTGAATGTTACCCGATGGTGAGAATCATTTCACCAGATGCCGACAAGGCAAAGCTCATTGGTTCTATTCCAGTAAAGTCGTTGATTTCAAAAAGAAGGCGAGCAGATACTAGATGTGAGGCGGGTAAGGGCGGCGGGGACCGCAGCTGCCACCGGCGCGGTCAGACGTAGCGAGTGGAGGTGTCGCTCCCTTGCACGCAATTCTGCTCACTCATTTGCATGTTGAATCTCATTTCCTGTGGGCTCCTGATGCCCTGATACTTTGTGCTGTGGACTGCTGTCTTCTAGGCTTCTGCGGCCCTGGCCAGGAAGAAGGGGAAAGGTTTGCACGAAGACATGACTATCTTTTGGCACAAGAAGAAAATAAGTGAGTTCAGTTATCCTTTGCACAGTCTCTGATGCTTTGTGTGCAAGGTTCTTTGAGCTGGAACCCTTCCCCAAGTCCAGTGGCGGCTGGCTCCAAGTGGATCCTTGTGTCTCAGTGTATCCTTGGGTTCCTTTATGATCTCCTGTAACAGTTGACAGCTG